CAACAGGGAACAGATTCCATCCAATGCTCCCCCACGGTGCTGGGTGCTGCCGCAGCTCAGAACCCTGCCCACGGTGGCCTGGACTCTGCGACAGCTCTGGGAGCCAGGCAGATGCTACAGACTCTGCTTTTGAGCTTTTGCTTTGAGGTGTTGTGGACGAAAAGAGGCCACATGCTAATCTAATTCAGGGAAGGCCTGCATGGTGGTCTTGCAAATTCAGAGACCCAAAGTAACCTCAAAGGATGGTCTGAAATTAAAACCTTTAATTAAAAAGCAGTTTATAGTGGGTAGTCGTGTCCTAGGCCAGTATCTTCCCTGACAATGATCAACTTCGATCTTTACGGAGCCTATTGTCTTTTTGCTTCTAAGACAGTGGTTCTCAACCTTCTGGCCCTTTAAATACAGTTCCTCATGTTGTGACCCAACCATAAAATTATTTTTGTTGCTACTTCATAACTGTAACGTTGCTACTGTTATGAATCGTAATGTAAATATCTGATATGCAGGATGGTCTTAGGCGACCCCTGTGAAAGGGTAGTTCGACCGCCAAAGGGGTCGCGACCCCCAGGTTGAGAATCGCTGTTCTAAGACAACATATCACTGGAATGTCAAAGTAATTTCCCTTTTTCTGGACCCCTCAAAGCACAGGCAGCACTCTGTGGGGACCACAAACCCCCCGTTGTTATTAATTGTTGAGTGTTAACCATCCTGCACTCACCTGTGTAAAAGAAGCATGTGTCCATCCTTTTACTTTTTTTTATTTTTTATTTATTTTTTTTAAAGCATTTTTTAAAAATATTTTATTGATTTCTTACAGAGAGGAAGGGAGAGGGACAGAGAGCTAGAAACATCGATGAGAGAAACATCGACCAGCCACCTCCTGCACACGCCCCACCGGGGATGTGCCCGCAACCAAGGTACATGCCCTTGACCGGAATCGAACCCGGGACCCTTGAGTCTGCAGGCTGACGCTCTATCCACTGAGCCAAACCGGCTAGGGCCATCCTTTTCCTTTTTATCCAATCCGGTGTCCCGCTTGGCTTTCTCCCCTCCCTCATCCTTCACCAATGGATTCCCTGTGACCCGCCTACGTCCCTCCTTGATTGTCACGTATAAACAAGGTGCAGAGCGCCGTGCTCCACGATCTCCCCACGTGGAGGTTCTGCTTCCCAGCCATTGCCCAGTTTGGCTCAAATAAACTCACAAAAACTCGTCACAGGTTTGAATGTTTCTTATGTTGACAGTTTTGATCAACATCAGATCGGGGGCATTTAGATTTAGGCTGGACGGGGTAGGGCAGCCTCGAAGGTGCCCCTCGCTGTGTCCCCCGGAATCCACCCCTCCTGCACTCAGCAGGGTGGGTCTGTGTGACCAACGCACACGTGTGGGGAGGGTCGCAGTTGAGTCATTTCTGGGTTAGGTCATAAGACACTGTGGCTTCCCTCCTGGTGGCTTCTCCCCTTGGGCCCCCGGCTCTGAGGGATGTCAGCACCAACTGCCAGGGAAACAGGTGCCGTGCCCAAGTCCTGACGCCAACTCCCAGAAGCCCGAGCATAACCCCCTGCACAGGTCCCAGCTGCTCAGAAACCACGTCCTGAGCTGCTGAGCGTGGGGTCTTCACACAGGATAGGTCACTGCTACAAGCAGTGCCCGGAGTATGTCCAGGCCACGTGGGAGCACGCCAAGGCCGAGTGGGGCATGTCCAGGTCGGCACTAACAGAGGGAGCAGACTCAGGAGGGCTCTGCTGCCGGCAGGCAGCCCCCAGCCCCTCCGCACGTGGTGACCTCCCTCCAGAGAAGAGCCCCCCGGAAAGAGGTTTCCTTCCACAAACAGCTGCATGGCTGGCGCTGGCGGAGGCAGAGGCAGAGGGAGGTAGCTCAGGCCCAGGGAGGCTCACCTGAGAAGCTCCAGTGTGATGGTGCCCCGGGGCTCCGCTTCCACGCTCTTCCCCCAGAACTTGAGCTTCGGGTAGATGGAGCCGTGGAACAGGAAGTCCTGACAGAGACCTTCGGAGTGAAATGCACTCACAGGGGGGTGGTGGCTGACCTGCTCGGATATGAACCTGAACCCTAGGTCTTCCCTAGGTACGAAAACAAGAGAGAAAGAAGGGGAGCCCATTAGTGACAGCAAAACTCAGGAAGGCAGCGCAGCGTCCCTGTCAACTCAGTGGCCATGCGCATATGTGACTGCAGGGCCCTCACGTCCAGGAGAGACACTGGGAAATGGGGACCACTCCATGCTGCCACACGTGGCAGAAATATGCAACAGTGCTCTGATGTCACACTTGCCTAATGCTGACAACACACGCACCACACACATGCATTAACCCAAGCACATGGAGGTCTGCAAGCATCTCTTAGAGCAGCAGTTGCCAACCGGTGGTCCGCAGACCACTGGTGGTCCGTGAGGTCGGAAAGGTTGGTGACCGCTGTCTTACAGCCAGTGCCCGAGTGCACCCGGGGCAGATGCCGTGCCAGTGCTCAAGGGCCGCCCACTGCCCCACGCTAGGAGCCATGACTCCTGGCCTTCCCAGGGGGCTCCTCTCGGCTCCTGTAAGGTTTGTGATGAGAAGTCTCAAGCTCCAAGATATTTCTGTCCAGGAAATGGGATTTTTAGTACACTCTCTTGTTCGAGAAGAATGTCATGTTTTAATTGTTCCGGAACTGTGAATACACCTACAGTTGTAGTTTAATAATTATAAAAGCTAAACCTCATAATTACTAACTTAACTGGAATCTGAATTTCCAACCATTACAGAGGGAAAAAAAGTTGAAAAATTAGATTTTTAAAGGTTGCCTGCCAAGGCATGTAATTTACAAGATGAATGCCTGTCTAAGCAAAGCAGTCTTTTCTCGGCAGCAGCCGGGAGGTTCTGTGGCTCCCAAACAGGAAGGCTACTCAGGTCCCAGGGCCCTGGAGCTCTGGACGCACAATGAGCCACAGACACGGGCACACGGGGACCTGGGACTGAGATGGAGAGTGTCTGGAGTTTAGAAAGAGCGTGAGTTCTGTCAGACGTGAAATGGGGGTCCTGCCCGGCCAGGCCTGGATGGGGCGCCGATGAGGTGTTCACCCAGCACCTAACACTTGTCCGTGTTCCTTCAACCCATGCGGCTTATTTCCACCTCCAAAGCTCTGTTCACACTATGCCCTGACTCCCCTTTTGTTCAGGGCATTTTAATGATGCTCTGAATGTACTCAGATACTAACCCTCTGCTGGCATCTAGATGAGGCCGGAATCCCGACCACGGGCACACACACCTGCAGACAGGTGGACACCCGCTCAGCACAGGTATCAGGACAACGCTACTAAATTCAAATAAAAGATCCCCTTAGTGGTGACTCTCGGGCAAATCTTTCTGGCATCTGGACCTCAGTTTCCCCGTGTCTAAAATGAAGGCACAGGGCTGCTCACTGTCCCTCTCGCTGTGACATGCTGTAACCCATGGTCACCTGCTGCACCTGTCATCTGCAAAGAAGCCCTGGGAGGCACACTCCGTAGCTTTCTATTAGCGCATCCAGCTTTCTCCATTTAGCGAGACTTCGAGACCAGCTGCTCACCACCAGCAACGCAGCCCCACCAAGAATACAGATGGCATTCCCACACCAGCGGAGCCAGGGGAGGGGCAGCCACTGCACCAGCAGGCGAGTCAGACACCGGTCTGCCTCTGGGGCGTGACCACTAACCCACTGTCGCATCGCGGGAGCAGGGGGCCTGCAGGTGCTCAGGCATGCCCGCGTCTCCACGATGATCCCGCCTCACATGGTCTGCGACCAGAGCTGACACACAGCTGCACACACCGTAGCCTCTACTCACCTGAAGAGCACCATTGTAAGCAGACCAACACCCCAATTCCCCCAGCCACTCACTCACCTGATCATCACAACACACATGCAGTAAAGGGCTGGCAACCACAGTTAGAAACTTCGAAGAAACTACACTTCTTTGAGCCCAAGATGCCATTGACCACATAACATACCATCATTTTATTTTATAAAAGAAAAAATGCTGCAAATTAAACTAGGACAGAAATGCTACAATATGAAAAATGTCTTACCATCAATGAAATACTAAATTTAGAAAAAGTTTTAGTTATCGTGGGGAAATGAATGTGGCCTGAAGTTCAATGGAAAAGGATCTAGACAAGCACTGTTGCATTCTGGAAACGTGTGTGCGCACGCACAGGAAAGGAACTTGGCCCAAACGTCAGCCAGACTCTTTCACAGGACTGTCCAACTCACCTTCCTCCCTTTTCTTCATTTTGCACATTTCCTAAGCAGAGCATGCTATCATAACTACAGACAAACTTGTATTTAATAAGAGTACAACAGACTCCCCCTGGGACCCAAGGATGGGCGAAACAGTAAATACCGTACATGCCACCACATGCTCCGGAGCCCCGCCAGGCTGTGACCCCTTTGACCTGGGGGCCCACCACACTGCCTGTGGGCTTTGGGTGGCACTCGCAGCCAGGCCGACTGGACCATGGCTCATTCTGAGCGACTGCACAGCCCGAGAGACAGGGCCCTGGTCCCGTCCCAGGCATGTGTACAGCTCTAGGACCAGGCTGCGTGACGGGCAGGAGGGGAGCAGCCAGGGAGCTGCTGAAGCTGCCTGCGAGAAACTCCATCGGAAGGAATTTCAGCTGCACTTGAAATAAGGTGTGGCCTTGGCCAGGTGGCTCAGTTGGTTGGAGTGTCATTTGTACAACAAAAGGTTGCAGGTTTAATTCCCAGTCAGGGCACATACCCAGATTGTGGGTTCAATCCCGTCAGGGCACATACGAGAGGCAACCTATTGATGTTTCTTTCTTTCTCTCTCTCTCTCTCTTTCTCTCTCTCTCTCCCTTTCACTCCCTCTAAAATCAATAAAAACTTATCCTCAGGTGAGGATTATAAAAATAAAATAAAATAAGGTCTGGTCTGGTCACTGCATTGCCAGTGCTGGCCAGGCCTTTGAACCCAGGGGCAGCGGCATGGCGGTCGGCAGTGGCTGGGAGCGAAGCCCTCCGACAGTCACTCCTCTCTAGGTCACCTGCTCCCTGCACAATGGCTGCTGAGATGCTCAGTGAGTGGGCGAATGTGCTTCCAGGACCCATCTCTATTTCAGGCCAAAGCTAACAAGCCGTTCACAGACACTCCCTTCTCCACTCCTGAATCCAACACAGGATCCCATTTCCAACTCTACCTCACAGCACTAGGGTTTTGTTACAGATCGACCCGACATTCCCCATATGCGAACCGTCCTGGCCCCGGCGGTGCTCCCGGCCCCTCAGTGAACCTGCCATCCACATGCTGCAGGAAGAACCACACCTTCCGTCCTCCACAGCACCGCGCACGGCACTCAGGAGGCCTGGCCTTACCTGATCAGCTCGTATGTCTCTCCCAGGAGTGGGTTGAACGGCTTGCCGGTCCTCTCCCACTGGGAAGCCACCGCCGACACCGCAAAGGCAGCCACACACTGCAAACAACACACAGGCCATGAGCAGTCCCCACCAGGAAGGGGGCCCAAGGCTGTAGGGAGCTGCAGGCACCTGGCATGTCTGCGTCAGGATTCACTATCTGGTGACTGTTCAGTCTTCCCCTTGTAACATGTCCAAGGTCACAGAGACTCCAGGAAGTGCCCTCTGTCACCACCACTTCCTCAAAACTACAGACAGCAGGAGCCCTGATGCTTTCCAGTCCCAGTCTGTTCTTCAGCAGGCCCTGTGGCAAGGGCCATGTGTTTGTCCCCTTTCAACACACATGGGCACACGAATGCACACAGCACACATGCTGTATACATGCACACGGGCATGCACACACACAGGCACATTTATGCACACATGCAGGGACACACGTGGACATATACCCACATGTGTGCATGCACACGTGTGGGGACACACACACGTACACACATGCACACACACAGGTGTGGTGCTGAAAAGACTGGGAGGAGCCAAGGCGCAGGCCCCATGCATTCCTGTGGAGAACACCCCCCAGCACAAATGTCTCAGCTGCTGGCAGGATAGCACCCAGAGTGCGTGTGCACTGTACTGCCTCCTCCACTGGAGAGGTGCCGGGTCCCTGACATGACATGGCCAGTCAATAGGGTCACATCCATTCACTGCTGCGGTCTGGCTCCCCCCAGCGCAGGGCCCGCCCACCTGCATCCTCTCCAGGGCCTGGGGCTGGCGGGAGGCTCTGTGGACGAGGTAGATGTGCTCCATGTACTCCGTGATCCGCTGCAGGAAGCTCAGGGGCTCATTGAAGACAATGGGCATCGTGATCTTGGACAGCTCCTGGAGGGACAGCGAGGACATCACGGGGGTTCCCAGAACACAGCCTCTTGCCTGCCCCACACAGACAGTCACTTCTTGGAGCAGCAGAGGCCTGTGGGAACAAGATCTGAAACCCCCTGAGCCGGGTGAGCCGACCTGGAAGGGAAGCCAGGCCCTCCCCGCCGCACAGTGAGCTCCACTCTGTCTCCCGTGGGATGGCTCCCAGTCCTCTGCCACTTTATGCCCCCTGCCCTGTTCCAGACCACGTGCACACCAAGGTGACAGGAGCTGCCACACTGGCCACCTCCAGTGGCCCTCCCCCCAGAATGTATGCACCCCTATGTTCACAACTTACAATAGCTAAGATCTGTAAACAGCTCAAGTGCCCATCAGTAGATGAATGGATTAAAAAAAGCTGTGGTACAGCCCTAGCCAGTTTGGCTCCATAGATAGAGCAACAGCCTGCACACTGAAGGGTCCTGGGTTCGATTCCAGTCAAGGGCAAATGCCTGGGTTGTGGACTCGATCCCCAGTACAGGGTGTGCAGGAGGCAGCCAATCAATGATTCTCTCATCACTGATGTTTCTATCTCTCTCTCCCTTCCTCTCTGATGTCAATTTATAGCATGGAATACTATGCAGCAGTAAAAAAGAATCTCTTACCCTTTGAGACAGCATGGAGGGACCTGAGAGTATCATGCTAAGTGAAGTAAGTCAGTCAGGGAAAGACAAGTATCACATGATCTCACTCATATGTGGAATCTAAGTAACAAAATAAACTGATGAACACAGAGGATCCAGGGACATGGAAGCATGAACAGAGTGTGAAATCTCAGAGGGAAGGTGGGGAGGGTGGGAGGTAATCAAATAAAGACCTTGTATGCATCTATGCATGGCCCATGGACACAGACAATGGTGAAGCCCTGGGGGTGGGAGTGAGCTGGAGAGGGTCAATAGGGGAAAAAGAGAACATATGTAATACTTTCAACAATAAGGATTTTTTAAAAAACCAAAATAAAAAACAAAAAAATCACTAGCCTTCCATCATGTCCAGGGTGACTGGATGCCTTAGGCAGGGAAGGGAGGCCACCCACTGATACCTGTTCCCAGGCATCGTTCGGGCAAAGCGAGCAGTGCAGGAGCAGCCAGGAGGACTCTGCAGGGACACTAAGGGGCAGTGCGCTCTGCGCATAGGGAGGAGGTCTGACACCCAGACAAGGCAGAGCCGTTCCAGGAGGAAGCAGCTGACAGGGAGGGGCTAGAGAAGGGAGGAGGGATGAGAGGAGAGGTGGAGGGAAAGAAACGCAGATAGTAATGTCAGGAAAGATGCTGGCCTGGCTCACGTCAGGAGAGGAACAGTGACCATGAGATGCTACTACTCACCTGCTCATCAGAACCTGACATCCACTGCGGGTGCGGTGGTGGGAGGCAGCCCCACACCTGCTGGTGGGAGGGCAGTGGTGCCCGCCCCCCAGATTTGCTGCATGGGCAGAACTGCACGTGCACCACCCTGGGTCCAGAAATGACCCTACACCCAATAGCAGGCAGGGCAGAAGGAGTGGGAAGCAGCTTGGGAGCCCTGGCACTGGGGGTGGGTAAGGTGGTGGGAAGCCTATAGTTACCCAGGAAAATGGAAGGAGAGACACAATGTCACTTTATGATTCCTGGAAAGATGGACCACAGAATTTTTATTGGTTGCCTCTCGGGGAAGGGCAGGGACAGGAAGCTGAATGTGTATATAGAGGTACTCCTGTTTGAGAGCTTTGACTTAGGATTTACAATGTTAAAACAAAGTACATTTAAGAAAGCAATCTGCACGCATGGAAAATAAAATGAAACAAAGCCCTGGGCACAACCACCGGAGAGGAGCCCCTTCCCCCCAAAGCAGAGATAGGAGATGCACCCCGAGGACGGGCAGAGCTAGGGGCACCAACGGACTTGGATTTTGGGGCAAACACGCTGTTGGGTGAGTTGATCCTGCTCCCAGAACTGCTGTGCACGTGGGATAAAGTGAGGGAGTCACTGGTTACATGCTAGGCTCAACCCATCAGCACTAGTCAGCACTAGCATTCACACCTGGAAGTGTCAGTGTGTGTGGGAGAAAAGACACATACATGAGCCAGAAGAGGTCAAATCAATCCTGTCATCCCTGAAACAAATCAAAATACAGCTGCTGTTTCCCATAAAATACATAATACTTCAAAATACATATAAAAGACTGGGAACAGAGCAATCCAGCAGCTCCCCAGGGCCCAGCATGGTCCCGAGGCCTCTCTCCCTGCATGAGTGGCTGGCTACAGGCCAGGACAATAAAGGTACAGGGTGAGCCGGAGCATCTTTTGTAAGAGATTAGGGTCCTTGAAGAGGCTCTCACAGACACAGATGGAACAACCTGTGCTCTGGAGCATGTCCAGCAGGTTAAATCCCGTGAGTTTAAAATACATAAAAAAGAGCCCAGTGTGGCTCAGTGGTTGAGAGTCAACCCATGCACCAAGAAGTCACCAGTCGATTCCGGCAGGGTACGTTCCCAAGTTGTGGCTCAGTCCCCAGTAGGGAGCATACAGGAAGCAGCTGATTGATGCTGATGTTTCTCTCTCATCGATGTTTCTCTCTCTCTCCTCCCTTCCTCTCTCTAAAATGACTAAAAACATATTTAAAAAATTTTAAATACATAAAAAGACATCCTAGTCATTTATGCCAGCATACTGGGTGATGGTAGTGAATCAAACACATAATCTGAAGACTCTCAGGAAGATTCCTTCATTGGTGCTGACCTCTTAATGACACCACACTCACCGCAGACATCTCAGGAAGTACGTAAGGCGGGTCGGTGTGGCACTGACCTGCAGCCCTAATGAGCGCATCGGTCGTGGCACTGAGCCCAGCAGTTCTTAAACTCAGAGCAAGAGCAACAAGCTGTCTCCCAATGCAAAACCACAGACAACGGGAACCCTGAACAGAGTGCACACCTGACAGTATCATGGTGGACATGTTTAAAAAAAGCCCTATCAAAGACAAGATGGCGGCATAAGGTACAAACCTGTACGTGCTGCCCCCCACAACAACATTAAAACCACAACTATAAGACAAAACAGCTATCATCCAGAACCACGGGAAAGCTGATCGAGTGGAAGTTCTACAACTAGAAGGAAAGAAAGAAGCGCATTGAGACCGAGTAGGAGGGGAGAGGCGCCAAGAACAGAGGTACAGGGCGCACTCAAGGCTGCTGCACCTTGGTGCGCGGTTTTTTTCAATCGGAAGGGGACAAGCTCTCGAACGCACTGAACTCATTTACGACGAGACGCTGGGGTCCCAGGCTCCTACGGGGAGAAACGGGACTGTCTTGCAGCGGGTCGGGAAGCGAAGGTGATTTTCTCACAGTGCTGCTCGCAGGGATCATTGTTGCTGCGGGGGCACGCGGCACTCGGGGAGTCATGGTGGAGTCGTGGGGTCGCTGACAACACCATTGCTGTTTGCCCCGCCCTGGGAACTCTCTGAGACCCCGCCCCACTACATCCCCTCCCAAGCTGTGCTCAGCGGCACAAAGGAGGCACCTGTGCTTTTGCAACCTAACAAACTGCAGTGAATCATAGAGCTCCAAAACTTCCAAACTCCAAACAAAGAGGAGAAATCTGTTGATATTGCTGTAGCCCCTGCTGGGTGGACCCACACAGTGGTTGACTTGGAGATCCAGGAGCCAGGGTAC